AGGCTTACTGAACTTCAAGTGCAGTTGCCTCCTGGAAAAAGTTGGCTATTGTGACAGTGATTGAAATCATACAAGTTTCTAGCTATTCTTTGTAGTCAACTTGAAAAATCCAAACAAGGCTTTCATGTGAGTAATACTGTCAGCATTCAGAGTTTAAACATTATTGCAGCAACCAAATTAAAATCCAAATGCATGTAAGAGTTTCCAAACGTCCCAAATCCCACAATTTGTCTATTTGTTATCTGCACTTAAATTTACACTAAATGGGTCAGCTCCATTTTTATGTTTTAATTTATGATGAAAAGAAAGGTCATTCTTTCAGGAAATATGGAAGTATTAAAGTGGTCTCCTATGTACACATCTTTTCCTCTTGCATTTCTAAACTAGAAAAACTGCACAAGAACTCTATCTTTGAAACGTGCGTTGACGCTCGGAAGAATTTTGGTGAGCCTGAAACAGGGTCCCACATTTTGTTTTCCAATGCTTCTTTTACTTCATAAGTAACAGTTACCTTGTCAAGGGCACTCATAAAGTGCTGATCACCATTCAAAACAGTGTTGATGAGTTGAACAAATTTACTATGTACTTCCAAAACTGACTCCACAAACTGAGTTGGCATCTAAAAAGGTAGAAAAAACAGAAAGCGAGTTATTGAGAAAAGTCGTATTACCTACACACATTAGTTGTACACTTTCTTCTTAATGGTTCTTTTTGATAAAAGTTAAAATAATAATGATTAAGTCTTTGAGAGAATCGATTCTGCATTGTTGTACTCTTACAATACCGTGCTTGAGCTTGTTTTGGAAATAAAAATCTACAGCTACATTTACAGTCCTGCTATCAAACACAGCTTTGAGTCTATACTGCTCTCATACTGTCTAATCTTTTCCATCATACCCTAAAATCCTTTATTAGCTCTTTCAAAAATCATTAATGCTAACAAGTAAATACAGCAATCAAGCCAAAAAGGTACTGAAATAAGTGAACTGCTGCTTCTCCTACACATCGACTTCAGAGACAGAAAATCCGGATGAACCTTTTGAATTTTCCTACCCAGGACAGTTACCAACCAAATTTAGTACGCCACATTTCAGCGAAACTTTTTGTGTAGAAATGACTAATATGAATTAGAGGAGTCCCTACGCAGACAAGCTGGCAGGCAGCAACACAAGAGTGTGCAATGCATTGGCTGCATCACATGACTCCCTAAGTGCATTCTCACGTCACATATTAAAACTGTTTTGATGACAAAATACTTAAACCACACAGTGGAGCAAGTATTTCACATTTTGAGTTTATCTACGTAAGGCTGCAAATTTTCATCGCCCTCATGGCTCTGCATTCATTTCCCTGTGTAGACACCTCTAGTTTGAAAGAATAAGCTCAGCAAACTTAGAATTGAAAGTAAACTATGCTACTAAGGACTTCAGTCCATTTTCAGCATGCACACAGGAGTTACAGAAGAGTAAGCACTCCTGCGCAGTCAGTGAGAGAGTGAATTTACAACAGTTCGTATCTATGTATTATTATAGACTGAAACACTGGATGGCTAAAGACACGACCCTAAAGTCAGCACAGATCTAGACAGCAAGATGCACACATGTACAAATATAACGACAAATGAACGCCTGTTTTTTTGTTTCTGAAGAGCAATGCTAGAGGAACAAAAATGGAATTGAGTATTTTTAATACATATGAACTGAAAAAGGTTTAGCACACTTTAGTAAAATAATTAAGCTACAGTATTTTTAGAAATTACATGAAAATATGAGACTACAAAGGTATTAGTGAAAAAACACCACACTGAAATCCGGACACGATGTCAAGTCTTTACAAATAACATATAATTAAACTAAATGGAATCACTGGTTCCTAACATACCAGAACAGCAAAAGTCATTGACTTAGAGAAATGCAGCAAAAAAAATACATACACGGAACAAAAGGACTTACTTGCCACGACAGCATTAAACAAACAACAATGAGAAGTATCTAGCTGTAGTTGTTTCTGGTTAGATCACAACAATCAACTCTCAGGATAGATATGTGTTGCGCAGCTAAGCGTGCTGATTAGAAGTTACACTTTATCCATAATGTCCCAAACCAATTTCATATAGACAAAAATAAAAAAACAGAATAGACTAAAACGAAAAGGGTAAACATTTCATCAGGAACGTTAATCAAATAGGTAATTTCAGCTGCCTAAGGAAACTCACATTTTCCTGAGAAAGATTGCTGGTTGCTCTAAGGCCCTCATCATGGATATGGTTTTGTAGTTCCTGAATCATATGAGGTAAACCACTTGACACAGCACGAAGTAGAGTATACATATTTGCCATGTCTGTAACAGAGATACATTTTTATAGAATGCGCTTAGAAACACTAAAAATCAACATTTAATTTAGTATCATAATTTCACACAGAACTTTTCAAAGACTGAAACAAGACCAACTGTTTTGAAAGAAAATTTTAACATACACTGGATCACTGACAAAAGAAAAAAAGGAAAGAGTAGGGCTCACTACCAGTATTTACTGAGTGCTGCCATTGTGACTACCTCACTCTTCCAATACTGCTTATTTAGGAGAGACTCCAAGAGGAAAGGTGGACTACTATGAAAAAAGTATTGTGCCAGTTTATTTTAAACCTTGGCCTCCCTAAATCTCCATTAGCAGCAGCTGACTAAAATTAGTTTAGATATCCTCTTGACTTTTTGTTTTCCTCCAGTGGTGGCTTGAAATTCTTCTCAGGTTAGAAAAGCTGTAAATAAGCAACTGCTATTGTTATGATTTTTTTTTTTTTTTTTCTGCACAAGGATCAAAGTTCTGATCAATTTTGCGAAACTCTCTGGAAATTGAATCCTATTATTGGACACAATTTGAGTTTGACTGTGAAAAATAATTTGTTCCACGTAACAGATACCGTCTTCCATGCAAGAATAAGCCTTCTTTGAAGTGTAAGAGGCATGTAGTAATCAGGAAGGAAAATTTTTTTAGTCAGGCAGGGAATATAACTATAAGAGCACCTGCTTCTGTAAAAAGGATTTGGGAAGAGAGTTCACAAAAGATTCAGGACAATAAAAAGTGGCTACGAAAAGAAGCCAAAATACTTTATAATCCTGACCTGTCAAATGATGATGAAGAAATCTGTAAAGACAGAGCCGTTGATTTACAAATGAAAACACAAGCATAAAATGTGATCAATTCTACAGGACACAGGACTTCAGTGTGTTTTTAAGCCAAGACAAGGAAAGAGAAAGAGCACTGAACAAAAGAAGGGTTGTTAACAGTAGAAAGTTTTGACTGTATATTTGGAAGAATGATAATGAATTACATGGTAAAATAAAAATGTCACTCAGGGTTTAATTGGGCTTTCTAGATAAGGAATATATATTAATTGAAAATGCTTAAACACATATGTCATTGAATAAAGATAATACATTGAAATGCTAAACGAATAAAACAAAAATCACTTCATGCTTTTCGTGACCATTGAGACTTACCACTTCTTTTCTCTTGTCTGATAATATTGTGACACTCTGCATGTAGAAACTGCAAGTGATCAGCTACCATCCTCTGTTGGCATTCATGAATCACTTTGCCGTATGAGCTGGGATGCAAGTATTTCCGACACCGCATTTCTTCATCTTTTAACCTACCTAAAACCTACAGACAAGTTTTTAAACTGAGAGCTGATGAAATACTAATAACCAATACAGAACCATGTATGTATCTAGAATGAGAGACATGCAAAACAACAAAGTTAAAGAACGTCTGGGATGCTGAAAAATTAAATTTGCTGTTTTGAATGAGACTGTTCTGAATTAACATAATCTTATACTCTGAGTACTGACTAGGCTCAGTCACTAGATGTTTAATAGCACTCAATAGTGCTCATCTCAAAATTTCTTCTTCCCTTCAACTTTGTGACCAGTCTTCCCCAATTTCTCCTACCATATTTCTTATTCCTTCTGAAAAAGTACTACCTAATTCTATGACTGTAAGAATCACTTTTCTGTTCCAAAACCACCTGCTTGTACGTAAACATCTGCTCAACAGGTATAAGTGTACATCTGAGCTACTAATAAAACTCCCCTTCGATGAAGGAAATAGGCATTATCATAAAACAAGTCATACAAATACTGACATAAAAGTCCTTATCTCCAGTGAATACGAGGGGAGCCTAGGGGGAGTAGTGCAGCTGCACACTGCTAATGATAGACAAAATGAATCTGCATTTCTTTTGGCATAATTGAAGTATTAGCCTGTCCCTGAATCTCATCTCAGGTGTGCAACCATTACCTTACCCTCCTTATGGTTAAAAGCAATCTCACAACCTGCTCCTCAACTCTTCTATCTTGTTAATGTGGACAGCATGGCACTCAGAACTGACTCCTAGTCTTGTATTAATTTTTGCTTTCTCAAGCAAGGTATAAGAATTACAAGTCATTTAACTACAATCTGACTTCATACACCACATAGCAAAAGAAAATCCACCTCACAGTATGTCGTTTTTAACAGTGCTCTGTAACAACTCTGCCATATAGTCTTCTCTAACCATTGTATTGCTAAAACTCCCATCTTATGCTACTACGAACAGAAGGAAATTAACAAATGGATTATATAAAATGTCACCAAAAAGCACAATTTAAACTGCATGAAAGCATACAACAAAGAACAGCTATGGGAACTGTCAAGGAAAGCATGCATCATCAGTAAATTGACAACATTAGATTTTCATTATTGCATGTATACTGAAGAATCTCTTACCTTCTCCATGTATTGTGAGCAATTTGACTCTTGCAATAAATTTGAAGCTTCCTGTTTATAATATTCCCCTGTTTCATTCAGAAAAGGACACTCAAAAATTTCCTGATAAAACTAAAAGGGAGAATTTTTTTTAAAGGACAAATAATGCATATACTAGATTAACATTCAAAATCAAAAACATAGATTGGAAATGTATATCTACCTTTAGGGGGAATTTTTTCTTATACTGTTCAACATGAACAAAGGAGTTAATAACCCCATGGATTACTTTCTGGTTTGGGTCTTCTCCACAGCGATCACTGAAATAGGCAAAGCAAACATTCATGAGAACTTAGGTATCTAGTGTAACTCATCTTCTAGCCAAATAAAAAAGGATGAAAACATTTCCCAGTAAATTCTTCTGCTTAAATTGACAAAACTGAAGAAGATTGATCTTAAATAAAAAGTGCACTCTTCTTTCTCTCCTACACATTTAAACTGTTGAGATAGCAATTCATGAACTATTCAAAAGCATTTGCAGGTCATGAAATTTCCAAGTATTTGCTAAGGATAAGTATTCCAAATAACATACTCTAGGTAAGGACTTCAAAAGTTACAGTAAGTCCCATCTTGTATCTGCAGCCTTTATTAAACAGACTACCTTCACAGTCCTGTCCCTGCCAAAGAAAACAGTTTTTGCCAACATCACACCAAGAGGCATGCTATTTTCTTTCCTGAATACCTACTCTTCAACCTGTAGATGTCAAGTGGAACAAATAACATACTTAGTGCATCACCACAATTTTTAATCATATATTAAAAAAGGAAACCCTTATGTTTTCCAGTCAAGTTCTTTGCTCCAAATGAGCGACTTCAAGTGAAGAAAATATTATCTTTAGTCCCATTCAGTTGAAAATAAAAGTAATTTAAACAAGTGCTTTGCATGCTAAAAACATTACTGTTCACTCCTTTGCAAAGACTGGAAATAACAGACCCACACTCAGAGCAGCAGAGCCTTTCTTAAAACATGAACTGTTCTGAAACAGACCACCTTTCACATACACTGGACAAAGAAGTAAAAAATATTCATTAACTCCTAAATTTATAAAAGTATATTTACACTTAAGCATCAGCAGTTGTAACATCAAAGGTTTTCCTTTTTTAAATACGTATGTATGTATATATACATGTATACAGAATAAGAACTTTTACTTTACCCAAGCTCCACTGCAAAGACAAAATGAGTTCTCTGTTAGAAACTCATATTGGTACAGGAGAGTCACTTAACCAAACATTACCATACACCCATCTAGGCGGGGGTGGATTGGGGAAGAAATAATTTTGCGAATTTCATTTATTTTGATTTGAAATTGATAAAAACTGCAGAGGATGCCCATGGGCTAGGGAGGTTTACCAGGACAGACACACCAGCAGTCGTCGTATTACATACACCAGACCATATTTATATCTTTGCATCACTATTAATTAAGCATATTGCTTTTAAGTATTACTGTGTCTCAAAATCTGAAAATTTAAGTGCATGATGGGTAGAAAGAACTAGCTCTCTACCGGATTTTGAGCAGTCACTGTATGGTTACGCAGGTTGGTCATCCATTAGCGGTGAGCTGACCTAACAGGTAACTGCTCCAACAATGATGGTCTGATGATTTTTTCCTGTGAGGAACAGGAAGGTTTCCTCTGGTGCTGGTAGCTGAGCTA